CCCCCTCAGGAGTGATCGCGAGTCGTCTAGTGACTTATAGCCTCCGCGCGCTCGCAATCCTCTGCTCAATAATAGCACGTCCGTCTCAACTTATCGTCGCAATGTTCTGTTCAACAACAACCCTTCCGCACCAGCCCTCCGTCTTTTCTGCTCATGTGAAAATACACAACAAATAAATAACACCTGTTTTTTTATAAAAAGAACAAAATTATAAACGAAGTGCCATTTTATTGCTTTAATAACTAGAGTAACAGTTCTCAAGTCCCAAACAATTGATACAGCTGTGAGTTAAGCAGTGGATTTTTTGTGCGGCCCGCAACAACGGTGCAGTCGATTTTCTCGTCCACGTGCATTTGTTGAATAGGTTTACACAAATAGCACACGGTATTTCAAGACTTGGCCTGAGATGTAATAAACGTTCCCGATAATATCCAAAGGCAGGGTCTTGAAATACAAGAAACTTCTTTTACACGTGCAAGAGTGAGAAAATTTCTCCCGACACGTGGTACACTCAAATGGCCTTTCTTCCGTACAGGACGGTAGATGTGCCAGCGGACCGCAAGAAGTAGGGAGTTTAATTCGGCACGCGGGGCACTGAGATTGGAATGGCACGCGAGCGTTTAAAAATGATTCCGTATACGCTCTAATAGAGCGGCCGATGTAGAGAGTTTCTTGTGGCACATGCGACACTCTAATTATTACACATCGCTGTGAGTCGGAAAATGGCAATGAAGACTGCTTGATGTACGAATAAGTTTCATGTCGTATGGATTCGTAGATGGGCCCGGAGATTGGAAGATGTACGTAACTTCTTTTGACATTCGGTGCACTCGAAAGGCTTTTCCCCAGTATGGGTTCGTAGATGTTCCCGGAGACGGAAAAATGAGCCGAATTTCTTTCGGCACACGGTGCATTCAAACGGCTTTTCTCCTGTATGAATTCGTAGATGAATCCGCAAATCGGAGGATGTGCTTAACTTCTTTTGACACACGGTGCATTCAAATGGCTTCGGAGGATGTGCTTAACTTCTTTTGACACACGGTGCATTCAAATGGCTTTTCTCCTGTATGGGTTCGTACATGAACCCACAACCTGGAAGATGTCCGAAACTTCTTTTGGCATTCGGTGCATTCAAACGGCTTTTCTTCCGTATGAATCCGTAGATGAATCCGCAAGTCGGAGGCGGATAAGCAGAACTTATTTTCGCATACGGTGCACTCGAACTGCTTTTCTCCTGTATGGGTTCGTACATGAACCCGCAACCCGGAAGATGTGCTGAACTTCTTTTGGCATTCGGTGCACTCAAAAGCGGAGGCGGATAAGCAGAACTTATTTTCGCATACGGTGCACTCGAACTGCTTTTCTCCTGTATGGGTTCGTACATGAACCCGCAACCCGGAAGATGTGCTGAACTTCTTTTGGCATTCGGTGCACTCAAAAGGCTTTTCCCCAGTATGGGTTCGTTGATGTGCCCGGAGATCGGAAGATGTACGGAACTTCTTTTGACATACGGTGCATTCAAATGGCTTTTCTCCTGTATGGTTTCGTAGATGTTCCCGAAGATTGGAAGATGTACGGAACTTCTTTTGACACACGGCGCACTCAAATGGCTTTTCTCCTGTATGGGTTCGTATATGAACCCACAACTTGGAAGATGAAGGGAATTTCTTTTGGCATTCGGTGCACTCGAACGGCTTTTCTCCTGTATGGGTTCGTATATGAACACGCAACCCGGAAGATGTACTGAACTTCTTTTGACATTCGGTGCACTCGAATGGCTTTAAGTGGCCATTCATCTTGATTTTAATTGTAGTATTAATACTGGATATTTGTGAGTGTCTTCTCACTGTTGTAGTGGGCTTTTCTTCCACCTGACTCTATCGTACCTGAAAATTAGAAGTAAAACTCTATCTCAGACAAATCATATTGTGGACTCGCTTGATAAATGTACCAGGCGGCTGATTCACGCCGCGCACTTCTGTGGTTGTGCTGTACCGCATGCACGTGCGTGCGGGTTGCCTACTCGCTCGGCTCGTAAGGCGCCGTGGACAGGGGCGATAGGCAAGCCCGCCCGCACTCGTGCATGCGGTACAGCACAACCACAGAAGTGCGCGGCGTGAATCAGCCACCTGGTATTTGCTTCGGTTATATACGGTCGAAAAAGTTGTTATTTCATATTTCACACTAAATTTACGACACATTTTTAGTACTATTAGAGTTACGAATGTGTTCACAAATTGATCGCTATTCTGGATTACAAGCTAGTTTTTTCACTCGTTAAATCACATCACCTATAAGACTATAGTCACTCTGTAGTGTGAGTGTGAAACGTACGTACCTGACTTCCGACTTTCTGTATCTCCTTCCACGTACTGACCGCTCCAGACTTGCCACACTTTTGTATGTCTGCCCAACCAGGCTGCAAAGCCGCGACTGTCCGCTCGAGGCGCATGGCCGCCCGCCGGTCGTGTCTCTGCATTCCGCTAGTCTTGCACTTTTCGCTCGTCGCTGCTCGCTCGGTCGTCCCTATACACTGAAAACTCCGAATTGACGCTCGTCGCTCCGTCTATACGATTCTGACGATAATGACGCAGGGCGCCATTCTCCTGTGCGGGTAGACACTGGTAAAACAAGTGTTTAATTTTGCACGTCAATTGACGTTTAAGTTCAAGTGTGCATTTTCTCGACACTTTGTGGTGTCTAACTATGTTATACGTCAATTGGTGTTTAAACTTTCGACACTTCCGAAACGTATAGCAGCTGCACACCGTATGGTTCCCTATTGACAGCATAGAACTGTGTGTGCCCAAGTGTGCAGAATTTAAACGTTTACAAAACGTCGAAAATTTGCACACCACGCAAGTGTGCAACTTGAGTTAAACACCATGTGATGTGCAAAATCACAACTTGCACACGTTTGGTGTGCAAATATTGCACACTTGTTTTACCAGAGGACAGACAGCCATGGCTGCGGAGGCAGATGGTAACGCGTGTCTATCGATGTCTCCATATATCGACTGATTGCGGTTTTGCAGGATGAACTGAACCCATCATCGGCTTCCCCCGCGCGCCTGCGAATCCGTAGCACCTTTCGCGCACCCTCTCTCGGGGCGAGGCTCACAGCGAGGCTCATCACGGTTAGGCTCATCACCGGCGAGGCTCATACCATGGTGACCACGGCGAGACTGCTCACCAATGCGAGGCTCACCACGGCTAGACTGCTCACCAATGCGAGCCTCACCACGGCTAGACTGCTCACCAATGCGAGCCTCACCACGGCTAGACTGCTCACCAATGCGAGGCCCACCACGGCGGTGCTCCACCAGTTTGGTGGAGGCTGCTGCTCTTCTCCAACCCGGCGCGGGCGGCGGCGCGGAGAGGTGACCGGTCAGCCGGGTCAGCCCGTGTGGATCGGTCGCCGTGCGCGGGGCGGGGCGGCTGCGATTGAGAAATGTCCACTGGCCACAGCTTCAGCAGCGCAGCAGCAGCAACAGCAGCAGCAACAGCAGCAGCAACAGCAGCAGCGGAGGACGAAGAGGACGCCATGGACGTGGAGGTGGGTAGGTGGGTCCGTCCGCACCGCAGGAGCGGGAGCAGCAGCGATACCCCGCTGACCGCGGCCCGGCGCGGCGCGGGCGACGCGGTGCTATGCGCCCCCCCCTCTCTCCCCTCCCCGCAGCCCGCGAGGGCACTCAGCTCAGCCGCCACAAATTAAACGTTTCTCTCTTCTCGTTGAACCCCAAAGCAGAGGGAGAAGGGAATCGCCGCCGCCGGAGGCCTCGCACGGTGTGTGCGCCGCCCGTCCCGTCACCGCAGCGCGTCGTCCAAGCCGAGGACGAGAGCAGGCCGAGCAGAGCGCCGACCTGGTGACGGAGGGCCAGGAGGAGGAGGCGGCGGGCCAGGAGGAGGAGGAGGCGGCGGGCCCAGGCCCTGGAGCAACAGGCGAAGCGCAGCGGCGCAGCGGAGCTCGGGTCCTCCCGCCTCTGTGGCCAGGTGGGTTGGAAGTAGTGTATAAAAATGAAACGACCCACACAACAGGGCGTTCCACACACCTTTGCCTATAGTAATAATAAAAATGATGACAGAAGTGAGAGTAATAATAATAGAACCACTTTAACAATAATAATAATAATCCGTTCCGCAACGGCCCCCGGTGCATCGGAGCCCTCCGCCGCGTCGCTATCGGCCACAAACTACACATAAAAAACGGCCGTAAACGAAAGGGAACTCACAACACGGGGGTCGGGGCGGGGCGGGCGGGGCCGCCAGGTGACCGCCGGGGCCACCGCCGGCGCCGCGCCCGGGTGACCGCACGCGGCCGAGTGCAGCTGCGGCGGCCGCGGCGGCTGGCGGCGGAGATCCGCCAAGTGGAAAAAGAGAGGATGTACTGGAATACAGTAATCGGGGTGGTTGGTAGTCGGCTGACTTATGCGAAATTGGGAGGTCACTTTGAGAGGTCTTTGGTTGGTAGACGGAGTAATAGCGCGGGGAGAATACAGTGAACGTTGCCCTGTTTGGTCGCGAGAGCTTCCCCGCCCGTGCCGCCCGTTAGGTCACGCCGGTGCACCGGTGTGGTGCGGGTTAAAGGCTCGACCGATCAGGAACGTTTATGTTCTGCCCGCCATTCTTCCTTCCGCTGTTAGCTGAAGTAGGCTCAGGTCGGGGGGAAACATGACGCGGGGGAAAATGAGGCATCTCTCTTTTCTCGTAAATATTGCAAAACTTAACGAAATGTTATCGGTGTAAAGCGGTGCGCTGTGTTGAGTCAGACGCAGGCATTGGGAATAAATTCTCGAGTTCTTTGCAATTTCTTTGTATTACTGTGATATGTGCTGCCTGCTTCCTTCGCGACTCACTTCCCCTGACCTGACCTTACTCTACGAGGCGGTTTAGGACTTAAATTATTTTGTGACTAGATGGCCGTGAAAGATTTCAAACCTGCCGGGTATTGGACCTTCGGCGTAAAGGATGATCTAATCACTTTATTCAATAAATGCATAATTATGCAATAAATCAAAGACGAACCTAGAAGGGGGGGGGG